CCTCAAACATCCCACCAGCAACCATGAAATCCTTAGTTTGAGTGAAACGACATGTTTTATATCTTAATATTCAGGCATGTGACATTTTGAAACCTCAGCACCCTGTGTTGGAGGTACCCCCACAGCCCCACAGGTCATTCAGCCGAGTCGGGCAGGTGGTGTGCAATGAGCAGCACTTCAATAAAATAAAAATAAAAAGCTAACAACCAAGCATTCCTTAAAAAAATTGCATGTTGTCTGCTGTCTTCTGTGTTGAACCTCTAAATATGGTGAGAAGTAACAGAGATAAAGCGTTTTGGTTGATAATACAAGTCCCATGACCACTTTGCACTCAGAGTAAATTTTTGGCTCAGTCTCTGAAAAACTAAATGAGTTATAATCCTTTATGTATTGATTACCTGTGGTGTCCACCTTGAATTTGGTTGACTCCAACAACTAATCAGTTGTAGCTGTACATCCAACAAGTATGTTCTGAGATCTAGTGGGTCATGAAATGTTTTGCTAACAGACAAACAAGACTGACTCCAACATTTAATTCCACCATTTTTAAGAAAAATCTCACACTCTGTGTACTGCTCCAAATATGGATAACAGTCAGGATCTACCTCCCCAAATTTTAACTTAGTGAGTTCATTTATACATAAAACATGACAGAATTTAGCTGAATTATGAGTAAAGATGACAAACCATCCGTTTATACTGTTATTATTTTATTATGAAACACAGAAAGGTTAATTTAACCATTTCTAAAATGATGAAAGACATCCAGCAAATGTTGCCAACAAAAAGAAGAAACAGACATGCATACTAATGCCTGATATAAAAGTACTATTAGGACAATGGGCCTCAAACAGCTGGGTTTTCCTAGAACTGCAGAATTGTTTGGCCTTTAGGCCAGATATCCCTCCAGAAAATAAAGAAAACCTTTGTAATTTTGCATAACTGACTTTTAAAGTCCGGACCTGCTGACTCGGTACAGTTACGAAATCGCGAAGAGGTTCCCACATTTGGTATTTAAAAACTTAGCTCAAGATGTACAGAAATTTGTGTTTGATGGATTATTGCTTTGTTATCACAATGCTTCTTGACAATAAATCTTGTATCAAACACCTGACTGACAGTACCTGGCAGTACCAGAAGCTCAAAACAAGTGTTAATAGCAACAACAAAATAAGCTGTTTGACAGAAATTTGGCTACATTTTCATGTGCGCAACCCACATCCTCAGCTCTGCTACTCATCCCAAAAAATGCTTGTTCCTTACAAATGTGGCACCATTTAAAAGAAGAAACTAACAGGCCTTCCAATGGCGTTTGTTTGTTTGAAATGGATCGCCATTTGTCCTCACCCAGGTGAGGACTACTCTTACTGGGGTCCAGTATAAATAAATAAATAAATAAAAGATCAAAACAAACATATCTGAAAGTTCCTGGAAATTTGATTCAGCCATATCATTCACAGAATGCCAGACTGACAAGGATTTGACATGGGTCTTTGAGGTTAGAAACAAAGAGATGAACTGGATTAGCTCAAACCTCACAGAAAGCCTCCTCGGTGTGGAGGTTCAAAGAACATCAAACAGATGTTTGAGATGGACCTTATGTGATCGCAGATATACGCGTTGAACAGGAACCCTGAATAAATCAGCAGATCTTCACACACAGACTAAGTCAGGGAAGCTTTGAGAGACAGAACAATAGCCTTCTCCTCATATGAGTGAACACTGAGTTTTTGCACAGGAAAAGGTGCCGTTTGTTGATGTTTATCTGGATTTTATGATGGATAATGTTCAGTATATTTAAATGAAACTGTGTTAGACAGATCTCAGTTAGCTTTGTAGTACATTTAAATTTAAAATGCCAATAAAATCTTGTATTATATCCTTATTGCTAAGTTTTGTATTGTAGCAGACACATCACAACCATTATCATGTTTCCTGTTATTGTTTATTTAGTGTTCGTCCACTTGTGGGACTGGAGTTCGGAACAGAGACGTTTACTGCAGGTTGAAAGGCACCGGACGAGTCCGAGAGGATCTGTGTGACCCACACATGCGTCCTCCTACCGTCCAACCGTGCCTCACTGCAGAATGCACACACTACAGCTGGGTTGCTGGCAAATGGGAAGACGTGAGTGGAGTGATGAAGGTTGATGCTGTTCCTGCTATTTTATTTTGCTCTGACTCTGTGTGAAATGAATGTGTGGACATCTAATTGCGTAAAAATGTCTTCAATTAGCTGAAGTCTGCCTTGTTTCTTTCTCTGCCTCATTGAATAAATAATCTGAAAGTATACTTAAATCTATAAACCTACCTTTTTATATGAGATAATAATAGAGATAGTCATCTGTAAAATGAAAAATAATAAAAAAGCAGCAAACTTCAAAACACTAATGGACATTATTTCTTTAGACCTGCTGAATGAATACAACATTTATTCTGTCATGCAGTGTTTTTTTATCTCATAAATGCACCTCATGCATATTCATGATTTATTTATGTTTTCTGGCTCAGCTCTTTCTTTTTGTTTGATTTGTCCTCAAAATATCCTCAGACATATAATTAGGCACCATATCGAGTCAGCAGTGAGGCCTTCTATTAGATGACTTAAAATACTTTCTTGTAGCCCTGCTAAAACAAATTGGTGCCCACTGCCTCCTTGGCAGCACAGTTTTATCATCTCGAGTCCTAAGCTTTTGCTTGGTGTGCATTTTTAATTTCATGTAGCTATTTATGATTAGTAGGCCCTCATGAACATAAAAACAAACGTCTTTGAGCAGTTAAGAGTGTAAAATATAACTATATATTTCATTTAAAATTCAAAATAAAACCTATTATCAAGTCCATCTGAAAAAAGAACAACTACCAAAGCCCTCAATCTTGGGAT